ATTTGGCATCATTGCATGTGTTTCATGAGTCTGAAGAGGACTTTATAGATTTGTATTAGACATATAAGCTAGTATCGGACTTATGGACTTGGACTGGACTGCGTTGGGATGCTTTCTCAATGTTCAATTCCTGTTGTATATAAAATGTTCTTATATATATGCATGATTATGAATTTGTTTCTCTAGTCTACCCAGACCAACACATTATTAAATAGCAGAATTCTATGAAGTGAAACAGAGGGAAACCGTGTGGGAGAAGTAGGGCTTTTACCCAAATTTTACTAGGTGAATTTGTTTGTCTCAGCTGATCTTATATAATGTTAAAAAAATTTTAATGGACTAAACAGTAAAAGAACTTGCAATTGATTTTATGATTTGGGACTTATGATAATTTTCAGAGCTTTTAAGGATATTGATTTTTTAATAGTTTTGTGGCTCTATGGATAAAGAAATTGAATAGAATTCTGTTCAAGAATGTAGTTGTTCTTATTGCTATTACTGTGAGGATTGTGAGCGTCTTTCCCTTTTTTTGCCCACTCCCCACAGTTATACTCATTAACTGCTTTTGATTATGATTCATAGTGACCCCCATAGAAGAAAGTAGGATTTCTAAAGCTGTAAATCTTTCTGAAAGTAGACTGCCACATCTTTCTCCCACAGAACAGTTGGTGGGTTCAAACTGCCAACCTTTCAGTTAGTAACTGGGTGCTTTATCTACTGTGCTGCCAGGGTTCCTTAGAAGGGGGTCCAAGTAGATGTAACTTAAAGAAATTTTCCTTGGATTCTCTGGGCCCTTGCTTTAGTTTGGTTTCTTCCTGTAGCAGATCCTGAAATAAGGACTCAAATTTCAATGGTTTATAAAGTACAAGGAACAATAGCATAGATAGATATGTGTAAGACAGACAGGGCTGGTAACTGGTACAAGGTTTACTATTTAATCAATTACTACAGTTGGTAATGGAGTTTCATCCCACACTGGCATTTGGTTTAGAATATTTGGACTATGAAAACATCAGCTTAGTAACATCACTGATTGAAGACTGATGTGGGGAGGAGTACAGGCTATGGGAATTATCAACTATCACTTCTCTGAACAGAAAAGCCTCCTTAGGTTCTGAAGGAGCCTTCAGAAACAAACTAAACTCAACTGCCATCAACTTGATTCCAACTCACAGCAACTCTATTGGACAGGGTAGAGCTGTCTCTGTGAGTTTCCAAGACTGTAACTGTTTATGGGAGTAGAAAGCCTCATCTTTCTCCTAAGGAGTAGCTGGTAGTTTTGAACTTCTGACCTTGTGGTTTAGCAGCCCAACGTGTAACCACTATGACACTAAGGCTCCTGAAGGAAACTTAGGCACAGATACTGGAACTCAAGCACCCGGAGAACGCCAAGGAGAGTATTTCCAGCCTCTTATTTCAGTGCCAGCCTTAGAACTGGCAGGTCCAGGCTTTTGGGGAGGGAACTCCACCCTGGGCAGGAATCTGTTTGTTTTTCTACTGCCTAAAATCCTAGAGCATTTGCATAGGCATTCAGGATAAAGTGTAAATGTTTTGTTGTGTTAGCCACAAGTTTTATCAAGACATGGTTTGGGTTTGCTAACCTCAACAACTCTTGACACTTGCCTTCCCCGTGCACACACTCATATTCTCTCTCATATCTCACACAAATACACAGAAGTACATATTTTCCCCTCCTGGCTCTCTCAACACGCCCCCTACCCATCCCGCGTCCCCCCCATCGCCACCACCATTCTCCCTCCATCCCTGTGTTTCTCCTATCTTTTCTATTTGTATCTCCAACCCAAAATCTCTTTACCTCTGCCTTTCATATCACTCCATCTCTTCCCTTGTCTTTCACCACCTTATAATTCCCATTTCTGCATCTTTATCTTTCACTATTGCATGTGTATATTCTTTTTTCACTCACTTTTTCACTCCTTCACTTGCACCACAGTGCTTTAATCATTTGAACAATTTGCATTTTCTTGAAATCATCACATTACTCAGACCTCCTTCAATTAGAATACTTCTTCCCTACCCTGCCCTTAGGTTTATGTTGTAATTATCCCAGTAAGCACTTCTTTCATGGTATTATAATTATTTATTATAAAATGCAAAAAAAAAGTATGCATTTTATTTGCAGCCATTGTAGACTCCATAGAGCCCTGGTGGCGTAGTGATGGTTAGACTACTACTCTGCAGAAGAAGCAGTCTTTCTATTCCCATAAAAAGTTCCATGCTCAGAAACTCACAGGGACATTTCTACCGTGCCCTGCAGTATCAGGGAGTCAGAGTGGACTGGACGGCAGTGAGTGAGCTCCACGTCTTAGCATTGCCATGCTCTCGCTGTCTGCCTAGAAAACTGTCTGGCACAAAGTAAGCATTCAGGAAGTACTAAGACTTCCACGCTTGACTGAAATATAGTTTCTCCATTTTTCCCCCTCTCATTTTCCATGGACTGTAAACAACTTTGTGAGATTTAATATGATATTGACTATAACCTTCATTATACCTTCCCAGGAAGCATTTGTATTTAATAACACAGGCATTCCGAAGATCTGGTGTCATTATCATGTTTGAGATATAACCCCTGCTGAACATTCCATTAGGTGTATGCCTAATAAGGGAATAAGATTTGAAGAGAACAATCTTGGGTTTTCATTTGATTTCTACTAGGCATCATGATGGCCACTCAAGACAAAGCATGGTAGTCTTTTCTACATGAAACATGGTTCTTAAAAAACAGAGTCCTTAGCAGATTCTGTGTTTTTTGTCTACTATTTATTGTGTTGTACCTGCTATTTATAATTGAATAAATAAATATTTTTCTATATTTGTAAAAATTTTCCATCTAAGAGGAAGCATATACTCGTCCATTGGCAAAGTAGTAGGGAAGAAACCAAGAAATTGTTTCTGATATTCACCAGAGACAAACTGGACAATTTGTACCCATTCCTTCCACTCTGGTACTAGGTCAGCTAATCTATTTAGTTCAGTGATTCACTCATCATAACTGAGAAGAAGCTGTATAAATCCCTGATCTGGAGTGTTACGGAGTTGGGTTTGAGGGGTAATACCAAACATCATTTATAAATAAAATGTAAAGATTTTATAAATTTATAAATTAAAATGTAAAGATTTTAAAAAAAAAGTAAATTTAGGCCGTAGAGGATGCAGGATTATAGTATATATCAATCATCAGTTTATCATAGTAAATCTCACATTTCAAAATCCATTGTACAGATTTTATTTGCATGATTAATTTAGAAAAAAATTCAAACTCACTGCCATCGAGTCAGTGTTGACTCATAGTGGCTCCGGTGATTCTCTGTGGGTTTCTGAGACTCTTAACTGTTTATGGGAGCTGCTGGTAGTTTTGCACTGACAACCACACAGTTCAAAGCTCAATGCATAATCACTACACCACCAGAGCTCCTTTAGAAAAGAGAACCTAAAATTCAATACATTTTTCAGATACCTTAAGTGCAATCTAATTGAACTTTTGAAATATTTTTCTCATTTTTCTTTATAAAGTATTTTATGCAGTTACTATTTCCTTTTTGCTTTGGCAAAATGAATTGTGTCTTTCCATGAGAAAATGCTTTGTCATTGGATATTATAGCTCTGAAATGATTCTATAACGAGAAAACCAGGTACAGTGCCCTATCTATGCTTATAACTGATTCAGAGGGCATATGGGAAAAAAGCATTTTTTATTTAGCCTTGAATTGTGTGATAATTTTATAATCCATCCCCCATCTCTTCTTTAAAGATATGTTCCCTTGGATTTTGTAAAGTATATCTATTTAAAGAGCAAACCTCTGAAACTTCAAAGGAGATATAAAACAGTATAATGCTTTCTTAACTGCCTTATTTCTTTACATTTTCTTGGTTTCTTTTTTATTTTATCATTTAGGCTGACTTTATAAAACTTTCATTTAATTGGATATATATTTTAGATCATTATTGCCATCTATCATGTTAATAGCATTCTACTAGAGGAAAACAAAATCCTGCCTCTTATTAAAAGTGGGGTACCTTTAAAATATTTTGAAGAAAGCATCAGCTCTACTATTGCTTGTTCACTTTATGTGTGGGTTAATGAACTCACCTATTTTATGCTCAGACTAAGAGAACAATTTCATAATTTTATTATCTCATAGGTATGTTACTAATTGCAATAAATCAACTGCCTAATTTAGAATATGTTCAGATACTTATCTGTAATGGACTTTTCTAGGTTTTAATTTGAATCAAAGTGCCTTTTATGCCTTGTTTTTTGGAAAAAGTCATTTTATGATTCATCACTTTGTCAATTATAGCGTGGTAACATTGCACACATCTTTATATAATTATTAATGTTAGAGAAAACTTGATTCTTAGGGTGATGATCATTGATGCCTATGATATATCGCATATACTCGAGTATAAGCCGACCCGAATATCCGCCGAGCACCTAATTTTACCACAAAAACGGCATTAAAAATGTGCTGAAAAACTCGGCTTATACACGAAATTTTATTTCCAAAAAATGGAATTTATTGTAAGTCAATAATTAAACAAATAGTATACACTATTGAAATATTAGAAACATGACATTATACTTAGCCATCATATAGATTGGAAGTGGGATAAATTTTCCCCTCTTAGAACAAAACTTTTCAGAGAAAATACTGTATAATGTGTTACTTGTATATTGAAATAACTGGATTTTTATGGTAGTTTAATGAAAATGTTGACATGTTGTTATCTATATTGAAGCTTAATTCCTTAAATTGATGAAAGATTAATCTGTAAATCCAATTTTATGTTTAGGTATTTGCATTTCATACAATTCAACTTTTGATATATATTAATTGTGAAATTGCCTAAGTTAAGTTTATATTTCATTGTTCCTTTTATTCTGTGAAAATTGCAATGTATTGCAGTAAAACTCTTTTAGATTAAATGTACTAGTTATAATCATAGCCACCACAAAGTAAAACTTTGTTCATATTTAGAATGAATATGAGACTCAAATTAAGAAAACACAAATACGCTCAGAAGATAGCCTGGGAATAAAAGGTGAAGTGAAAGATGAAGACAGGGAAAAGGTAATAAATTAAGATCTTAAACTTTATGATACCATAGACTTTCTGGAGTATTCATCTTTTAAACTATTGCTTTATATAAAATCATCTTATTACAAAGATCTCTTTTGAATAAGCCTTAAATGATTGTTTAACTGATAGAGTACTGCTTTAATGTCTAGTCAATTAAATTTGCTGAAAGGCAGTCATTTGGGGGTTAAAAGAGATAGAATTAGAAGGAAGGCTTAGTGTCCTTAGGAGGTAAACTTGCGCATATCTAAATTATCCTTTATAGTTTTTTTTTAAGTTGGAGAAATATTTTAAATGAAGAGTAAACAAAATGTGATATTTTATTATTTTTCTTTATATATAATTTTGCACATTTTAACCTTTTCATAGAGAAAGTAAAAAGAAAAGATTGCATATCTAAGCAACAGATAAAAAGACTGGCATGGAATACTTAAATAAATTCTGCTATGTATCTGCCATAATGCAGGCTTCTAATCCTACTGCCTATCTCCATATAAATGATTCTGTTCAAGACCATAGATGTTTTCTTCCCTAAAAGCAGTAAAGCTCTTTTAGATGAAATGTCTAAAAACATCTTATAATAACTTGGAGCATGCTGGCAAGAGTAGTCACTTGTGACTATGTGTGAAACCCCCTCAGCCAGTTGATAGTGTAATAAGCAAAAAATGGTAGCATCACTCCATTATTCAGAAAAGCCAACAGCGTGCTTGTTCCTTAGGCTGCAGCATTCATTAAGAAAAGCTTACTGGGCTGAAAGCTGGAAACAGATGATAACGGGATATGATTTTCATATTTAATGCTTTCCTTGGAAGAGTATGTGTGCTACAGATTGATAGAAGAATCAACTGCTACTTTACTAAAAGACTTTCAGGTTTGCCCTATAGCTACCGATGGAATCATTCAGCCAAGAAATTAACTTTTTCTCCTTTTACCTGCTTTATATATCTGCTAAGCAGGCTGCCTGGCTGACAGTAAATGTTATTATGCAGTTAACTGTTTGGTATTTAAGACGCTTATCAGAAAAGAAACAGAGGCCACATTATTTTGTTTTTATAGTAGAAGGAAGGTTTTAGTTTTTTTCTTCTGTGCATTAGCAGGCATTAATCTAAGTTTATATGAAGTTTCAGTTTTTCTTCAACATAGATTTAAAAGTTTTTAAAAAATAGAATTTAGAGGATTCTTTAAACTGGAAAATACAAAACATAAAACCCCAGCAACCTTGACCTATATAAAAAGGCCATTCATGATAAATGATTTGCATTCCATTAGATGTATGCTGAATGTGGTATGATGTGATAGGCTTCTGAATTATTCAGGCAACTTTCCCATTTGACATTTAGTCATCAAATAATTGACATGTGTTTAATCTATAAGCCAATTTGTTCTTTCTATGCCATTCCTGATAGACACATTCTTAGAACAGCAGTGTCAATGGTACTTAAGTAAACCAGAACTTTTTTTTTTCTTATTTACATTACTGATTGTCTTTTTAAGTCATATTTAAAAGTAGGGCAAGAACCATAAGTTGATAATCTGTTAAAATGTTACATATTAGAATTAGAAGGGATACATTTTTCATTTATAAGGGAAAGTGTCATATCTTTAAAGACTTTGACTATTAACTGTGAGAACCAATTAAGTAACCTATTGAGCTTGATTTGCCATTTCATACCTTTCCCAATCTTTCGTTGGTTTGAGCAATTAAAAGGTAAATAATTTCAGTAAAATTATGAATGAGTTCATCCTACTTATATAATTCCAGAACAATTTCCCATTATATGAGTTATATATATATATTTTTTCCCAGTGGAAATCTGTGCACCTCCTCATTGGTCAACCAAATGAATTAGTCTCAGTGTCCAGAGTCTTTGGTCTTCAGAGACGAGCCTCAGAGCACACGAGAGTCTCACTGGTTGAATTATGAATAGTCATTGAATAATTATTGAGCATTGTCTATAAGAAGGCACAGTGGGTCTCACCATGAATGTCTCTTGATGAATGGCACAGTCCTATCTTTGAGATGTTTACTACAAAGTGATGTTCTTTCTAAGACACAGGATTGTTTGGGAAAAGTGCTGCATATATGGGTCAGGAAGAAAACACTGTTTCCTCTGAAATGATTTACTAAAGGCTTGATGGAGGAAGTGTATTAGAGCTGGAAATGGAAAAATATGAAGGACATCAGTCAGGAGCAGTGTGATAGTCATTCCAGGGGCAAGCATTGTTATATGTAAAGGAGTAGAATCTGGAAATCTCAGTGGGTAGTGGCTCATTCTTACTGAAGTCTAAAGTTCCTGTAAAGTCTAAATGAGCTTGCTATTTTAACAGAACTCCTTAATACCAGTGTCCAGAATTAAGATTTCCTTGTGGAATTAGATATTTATATGAAGTGTAGTGGTTAAACGTTGGGCTGTGATCCGAATGGTTGGTAGCTCAAAACCACCAGCAGCTCTTTGAAAGAAAGACTGGGCTCTGTACTCAGTTACAGACTTGGAAACCCACAGGGGGCTGCTATGAGTCAGCATTGACTCAATGGCAGTGTGGATGTCAGTGGACAGAGCAGTTACTTTGTAAGTGTTTGGCTGTAGGAAGAGGAATCTGGCAGTGCTGTGCAAGATGACCTGGAGGAAGGAAACTGTACGATATAGTACAGTGAATTACTTAATATAGCTTTTCTAGCTGTGGTTTTTGTAAATCCCACCGGATGACTGGGTAGAACCATGAAAATAGGGTGTATGGAGTACTGTTGTAGGGATTGCCATCTTGCTGGGTTTAAAAGGAGCCATCTCAGAAGCTAGAACAGCGATCCTACTGCCATTGAGAAAGAAGAGCCAAGAGTGCAGCTTGCATTTTGGACCACAAGATCCCTGTGTATTATACCTCCTCAATCCAGAAGACAACTCTGACGCCAAAGATGTGACAGAGAAGTAGCAGCAGCGAAGGCAACAGCACCAAGAGCACAGAACAGAGCAATGGGTTTCTTAGTCTACAGAGCAAGAAAGCTGAGTGGCTTTGGAGGTTCACTTGTAGATTGTGGTGTCTCCAAGCACTTAATGGGGGGAGCTAGGTTTGCGAGCCCATAGAGCTAGAGCTGAGTACCTTTGGACTGAGGCTTATAGTGACGTGGAATGCTTTTTGCGTATTTGTTGGCAACACTAAAAAAGCTTTGTAATGCCGATTGAGCAGTGCAGAGGTCATGAGAGAGATGGGTCTGTAGGCACAGCTGGGAAAAGGTTCTCCCCAACAGACATCTATATCCCAAACATTTATGATCTTGAATTCTAACCTATTATTTCCCTAATAACTGCCCCAAATTATATGAATATTTTCTGTGGCCATTGTAGTGAATTACCAAACCACCAGAGAAGTGTTGCGAGGGCTGTGAGAAAGGTGACTGGGATCAAAATTAGAAGGTGGAGGCATGCCTGACTTCTGCTTCATAGGATTTAACCTTGGGCTAATGTTGAGTTGAGTTTGATCTTGATGTTGAGTGTGATTTTCCTTCCCTTTTGTGACCTCCTCCTTTTCAGAGGAGGTCAGATACTTGTTCCATCCTTCCTCTGGGAAAATCAGATCAGTTTATATAGCAGAAATTAACAGTATACAAATTGAATGGTGACCATTGAAGTGGAAAGCACTAGCAGAGGGAAGAGGATGCATCAAATTAATGCTAATTCTGAATTTTAAAAGTAGCTGTGTAAATTTCTATCATTAGCAGTAATCTGGATGTTCTGCAATAAAAGTAGTTATAAGTAGTGTTTTCCCATATCTTCTATGTTAAATTCCATCTTGGGTTTTCACTGAGACATATATTGTTTTCATGTATTTAGTAGAAGCTCTATATAGTTATGTGTTTTCTTAAGAAGGGTAATAATTGCACTATTTATCTCCCAAGTTTGTTTTCACTATTAATTACATTATGAAATTTTAAAAATTTGAAGATAAGTGAAAAAAGCATTGTTTCTAAGCTTCCATTTATGCATGCACAGGTCTTATTCTAAACAAAATATGTTTAAACATGTCTCAGCGATCAGTGGATGGCTATGCACAAGTGCTCTCAATAATATATTCCTTAACTCATTGTACTCTTGATAGGGTGCTTTCACACACAAAAAGATGCTTTAAATGGTTTTGAGGTTAAGCCCAATATAAAATTTTTAACAAAACTCAAGTAAATATTTTCCATAATGACCAAAGTATTGCAGCAAATTTATGAGAATACAGCACCATATAAAACTAGTTTTTATCAAGCACTTTAAGAAAGGTTAGGAAGACCTCAGAGATAAGCCAAGAAATTAGGAAAGTGGCTGAAGTCCAAAATCTGGTGAAAGAAAATCGTAAAATTACCATCGATGCAATAGTTACTAAAATTGGAACTCACATAGTTTGGCATTTTGAATTTTAAATGAATATCTTTGCCTCACCAAGCTTTTGATTGGATTGGGTTCCAAAGTGTTGCAGTAAGATCAGCTTGCTCAGAGACATTCTCTCCCCATCAGTCTTTAATGAGATCAAAGCTAATGAAGATAATTTTATGGACCAAATTATAACTGGGATCAAATCTTGGATTTACCAATAATCTAGAGAGCAAGGTCCAATTAAAATAGTGACCTCTGTGGGGATGTACTGGGACAGTTGAATTCAAAGCAGAGAGGTCAGCTCAGAAGGTTACGCCAACTGTTGGGTTAGATGCCAAATGGAAAGTCTTGTAGTTTTCCTTCAAGGACACAGGGTGTTTGTGGTTAGGGTGAGGTTATTATGAAGAAGTTTTAAGAAAATTGGAGTCTTTCTTCTTCCAGTTAAAGATGAAAACGTAGAGTCACTCTTCTACTAACCTGAACAACAAAGTCTCAGAAAGTGCACGGGTCGGAGGAACGTATCCTGGATCTCTGAGAAAAAGGTAGTTGAATGAGCCAAACACACACTTTTAAGACTGAAAACAGGGAACTAACAGAATAAATCTGCAATGAAGATGATTACAAAGAAAATAGAGG